CCATTTCCCTGCATTGGGATGGCTGACACCAAGCAGAGCACCCAATGGCCTCATGGGGTGCATCAAGAAGAGGGCAACAAACAGGTTGAGGGAGGTCATCCTTCCCCTCTACTCTGTCCTGGTGAGGTCACATCTGGAGCACTGTGTCCAGTTCCGGTCTCCCCAGTTCAAGAAAGACAGGGAACTGCTGGAGAGGGTACAGCAAAGGGCCACAAAGATAATTAGGGAACTAGTACATCTCTCTGATGAGGAAAGATTGAGGGACTTGGGTCTATTTAGTCTGGAGAAGAGAAGACTGAGGGGGGATCTTATCATTGCTTACTCAAAGGCCTGGTTGTCAGGAGGATGGGACCATTCTTTTTTCAGTCGTGCCCTTTACAGGACAAGAACACAATAGGCACAGACTTGACCATAGAAAGTTCCATGAAAACCTGAGGAGCAACTTCTTTCCTGTCAGGTTGCCAGAGCACTGGAACAGGCTGCCCAGAGGTGGTGGAGTCTGTGTCTCTGGCTGCCCCTGCTGAGCTCTAATATCCCCCCTTCAAGGAGAAAATCACAGTTTACACATCAACTGTATTTTGAAGCTCTTTACTTTTTATATTAAGGGCGGGGGTGAAGACAGAAGGTATGCCTTGGGAAAGCATGGGAAAGCATAGACAATTAAAGACCTGGATACTATTAGAGGGACAAGTAGAGGCAGAAGAGACTGGAAGAAACTGGGAAATTGTCACTACACGAGCTATTATCTGCTCTTTGAAAAAATAAAATCAGGTGTGCTCTAAGGAAACAAGAAATTCACTTCTGGTGATAATCAGATCAAAACCTCACAAAATAGATGCTATTTCCAAAGGGAATAAAGTACTCCGCTTTGAGCAGGCAGTCCCAGAAGTTGATCTCACAGACATGTTAGGTCTGGAGCCCTCGGCAGCTCTGGCAACGTGTCGCCCATCTGGGGAAGTCACAAAGCCTGGTGGAATGATCTGAAGTGGTGGCAGTATTCCTGCCGCTCACCTGCTGCCCCGGTAAATGTTGGACCTCTCCAAGGATCCTTTGGGGAAACAATAAGTATGGGAAGCTTTCGGAAAAGATGCACAAGGAAATACCTTGTAAAACGCCTCTGGAAAACCACTGGTCCTGGTTCCACCCCTGCACAAACTTCCCTTAAACCCCATCTGAGAAATTTAACAAAGCAGAATTACACAATTCTATCTTCCGGAGATCATATATAAACCCCTCCAAGGTCACAGCCAGCTTCAGGCTGTAGCAGAGGTGTTTGAAACTCCTCTACCACTTTGGGGCTGCCAGCAGAGTCCTGTGCATAGAAATACTGTTTCTCTGCTGCTCTTTCAGACGGTAGGTTGTTTTCTATATATCTGATACTAAGTTAGTTAGCTATATTTTAAGCTCGTGGAGAGGGTGGTGCAAAAGAAATTCTTTCCTGTGAGGGTGGTGGGACACTTCAGCAACTTTTCTGCCTGAGCTGGGGCACATTCTGTCACGCTCTGGAGAGTACTGGAATAAGTCGCTTCTTGTGATTCACCTTTCTCAGTTTTCAGCTTACAGGTCTCCATATTCCTGCTCCAGTGTTAGTAAAGACCTAAAGGACCAGATGTCTGGGGTCTGAGCAAGGGTATCTCTAGCTCAGTATCCTGAATCCAATGGGAATTAACAAATGAGGGTCAGGGAAACAAATCAGAAAAGGGCAAATATGCGTGTGAGTCTCCAAATCTCCTCTGCGGAAAGGTTCTCCAAGCTGAGTGTCTCTCTGCATTTGCCCTCCAGGTGAGGAAGAGCCCTTCACTTGGAATCCTCCCCACGATGCTGTTGCTGCTGCTTCTGCAGGTCTTGGCGAGCTGCCTCTGGCTGGGACGCAGTGAGGTGGTGACATCCTTTCAAAGTTGTCCTCAGTTTTTCTTCCAAGGAACACCCCCAAACGATGCCCTGAAGCCAAACAACCCAGCCTGGATCTGCCAGCGCTACAACAACCAGTATCACTTTGCCACCCTGTACAACAGAGACCTGCGTATTCCCGCATATTCCGCTTACCTCTACCAGCCTGAAGATGTAACAAAACCTGGCAACATCTGGATGGTTGAGCCCCAGGTGAGTGTCCTCTCTTATAGCACATCACCCTCCAGTCATTAAAAGGTGAACTGCAGCCTTTAACCAAACACTTCCTTTTCCTCTCACCTCCACACACGTGCAAATAGACCTACTGAATGGGATTTCTCATCTAACTTCCAACAACTTCAGCATAGTTTTCCTCTGATGTGTTTGAGACATCAACAGGAGGATA